CTGCTGTCCAAGTCCCCAGAGTCCCACGGTGACTCTTGATGGTTTCTGTATTTTCTTTTTTTAAATTTTGCTTTAAGTTCTGGGGTACATGGGCAGATCTTGTAGGATTGTTACACAGGTATACAGGTCATGGTGGCTTGCTGCCTCCATCCTCCCATCACCTACATTAGGTATTTCTCCTAATGTTATCCCTCCTCAATCTCCCCACCCCCTGCTATCCCTCCCCTAACCGCCCACCCCCCAACATACCCCAGTAGTTGATGTTCCCCTCCCTGTGTCCATGTGTTCTCATTGTTCGACACCCACTTATGAGTGAGTACATGTGGTGTTTGGTTTTCTGTTCATAGTCAGTTTTCTGGGAATTATCGTTTCCAGATTCATCCATTTCCCTGCAAAGGACATGAATTCATCCTTTTTTATGACTGCATAGTATTCCATTGTGTATATGTGCCACATTTTCTTTATGAAGCCTATCATTGATGGGCATTTGGGTTGGTTCCAAGTCTTTGCTATTGTAAACAGTGCTGCAGTGAATGTACTGTGCATGTGTCTCTATAATAGAACGATTTACAATCCTTTGGGTATATACCCAGTAATGAGATTGCTGAGTCAAATGGCACCTCTATTTCTAAATCCTTGAAGAATCGCTAGACTGTCTTCCATAATGGTTGAACTAATTTACACTCCCACCAACAGTGTAAAAGTGTTCCTTTTTCTCCGCATCCTCTCCAGTATCTGTTGTCTCCAGATTTTTAAAATAATCACCATTCTAACTGGCATGAGATGGTATCACAATGTGGTTTTGATTTGCATTTCTCTAATGACCAAAGATGATGAGTATTTTTCATATGTTTGTTGCACATAAATGTCTTCTTTTGAAAAGTGTCTGTTCATATCCTTTGCCCACTTTTTGATGGGGTTGTTTGTTTTTTTTCTTTGTATTTGTTGTATTTCTTTGCGGATTCTGGATATTAGCCCTTTGTCAGATGGGTAGCTTGCAAAATTTTTTTCCCAATCTATCGGTTGCTGGTTCACTCTAATGATTGTTTCTTTGCTGTGCAGAAGCTCTTAAGTTTAATTAGATTCCATTGGTCTATTTTGGCTTTTTGTGCCATTGCTTTTGGTGTTTTAGTCATGAAGTCCTTGCCTATAGCTATGTCCTGCCTAGGTATTGCCTAGGTTTTCTTCTAGGGTTTTTATGGTGTTAGGTTTTATGTTTAAATCTTTAATCCATCTGGAATTAATTTTTGTATAAGGTCTAAGGAAGGGGTCCAATTTCAGCTTTCTGCACATGGCTAGCCAGTTTCCCTAACACTATTTATTAAACAGGGAATCCTTTCCCCATTGCTTGTTTTTGTCAGGATTGTCAAAGATCAGATTGTTGTAGGTATGTGGCGGTTTCTATATTTTCTTATACTAACCTTGCCTCTCTGACTTTCTTGAGTCCTGTAGCCTTGAGAATTTTTGAAACCTTTATCTCAAGCAGTGGTTATCAACTATGTTCTGGGTAGGAACATCATTTTTCTTTAAAGTGGACAAGTCTTCATTAACATGGTCCATTAGCAGTATTTTCCAGATCTTCACAGCCATGCACAAGGACACACATGTGCTCATGCTAAGCAAAGCTTATTGATGAGTTTTCTAAACTTTTTCTCCAATGCTGTTCTTTAAAGTCTTAAGCGTGTCTATACTAGAATCTGGTGTCAGCAACAGATTGAGCTCACATTTACATCTTTGTTTTTTTTTTATACGTCGAAGGCATTTATCTTTCATAGTTCTCCTCCAGGTGTTTTGCCACCTGAATGCTTCTGAGATGCACTTGGCCAAAAGTTCTGGTTCAAAAGAATCAAAAACTCTTCTAGGCCCCGAGGGAAACATCTTTTGACAATTCCTCTTCTCCGTTCTCCCTTGATGAGTTCAGGAGACAGTAAAGAGACACATAGGAAAAATCTGCCTCTTCTTTTGAAACAAAACAAAATAAAACAAGGCCATAAAATAGACAGGGAAGGTATTTGCCTCAGTAGCAAACTCAACTACTTGCAGAATTTCATTTACCAGAGGACACTGTGTTTTCTCAAATATTCTGTAGTGATTATCTGGCAAAATCTCAAAACATTTTTTAACACAAGTTGTCTTTGGTCAATAAATACCAGAACTGAAATGTCCTGGGGGTGGAGATTTATGATCTAAGCGCAACAAACACACCCATAAATCAGGCAGAGAAAGCTCTCAGGTAGCCGAGCAGGCATTATGCAGATCTCAGCAGAGGCCAGAGAAGGTAGTCCTTGGGGTCCTGGCAGGGCTGAGCTCACATCAACCTGTGGGAGGAAGGGATGGGCTTTCAAAGGCTTCATTTCTTCATCCACAAAGGAATGAACAGTTTGGCTTTGCACTGAGTTTCTCTTTTTCTAATCATTGGAAATTTTCCCTTTTCCATTGCTCACAGACATTTGCAAAGACAGGCGTGTTGTGAAGTACCTGGGGAACCAGGTTAAAATCGTGGCTGGAACACTGGGCTGTGTGAGCTTGGGCAAGTCGTGAAAACGCTCTAGCACTTTGCATCCGTCTGTGAAAAGTGAGTATAATAATACTCACCATACAGGACGACTGTTAGGATTAAATCGGATAATGGTGAGAAATGCTTAGCACAGTGCCTTGCAAAGTTACACTTATAGATAACATTTATTAAAGTGCCTGGTCATGTAGGTCTTCTATAAATCAACCCTAACTCTTTCCAATGTGCAAAATTCAGGGAAATGTAGATGATGCTCTATAATAAATAGTAGCTTTGTCCAGATGCAAAGCTTGACTAAAGTGTTTTATGGTTTATCTTGATATGGAATCCAGTTCTGATAATCGGGCTTCTCTTGGGTCCCAAGATCCAGTCTCACCTTGAATTTGGGTTTGTTCTCTCTCTGTTCCCTCCTGGGATTATTCTCGGTCTCTGACTTTTTCAACTCTGAGCCTGTGCTCTCTTCTCCCTCCCCTGACCTTCTCTCTCCTGCTTTCCTCCTTCCTCCCCTCCCTTTCTTTTCCTTCCCCCTCCACTCCTCTCTGCAGTTCAGTCTTCACTCCCTCCTTATCTCACGTGCTTCCACTACTGTCTATATGTCCTGATGACTCCAGCTGACCTGTAGCTCCTCTCAGCCCTCTCGTCTACGATCCCAGGTACCCATGTCTAGACAGCTCTTCCACCTGACATTTCCACCAGGATGTGTCACAGGGGTCTCAAATGCAACATTTCCCACACGTACCTCTGGATCCATCTTTCCCTTTCTCACAGTCTTGTCCAGCATCTCCCACGTGTGGGGCTTCTGTAGGATTTGGAGGAGGCAGCAGTGAGAGGTCCGCAGTTCCTGATCTGGACTTGGTGAAACTCACACGTGGTCCACCCCTGCACTTCTCATCTGGGCAAATGTCCCCAGTGACGTACCTGTGGCCCAGAGTAAATATCTGAGAGGCCAAGATGATGCCTTCCTCTCCTGCATACACACCTCTCCCACGTCCTGTGGACTTTACTTTCTAGCTACCCTCCATGTCTCTTTTTTTCTGTTTGTTTCTACTGCCCCATCCTATTTAAAACCACTCTCATCTGTCACCCGGCTGACTGTGGCAAGCAGCCTTTCACTAGAATGAGGCATTTCCCCAGCCACATCCCACAAAGTACAGAGAATAACTAAATACACAAGCCTGGTCATGTGATCCCCCTGCTTAAAACTCCTGTGGCTCTCCACGGACTTTGGCATAGAATCCAATGTCTTAACCAGCTTCCAAGTCGCCGCCCACTCAGACCCCCTGCCTCCATCCCTGGTATGTCTGCAGCTTTCCTTCCTGCCCTTTCCTTACTAGACTTTATTTTTTTATTTTTTTGGAGATGGAGTCTTGCTCTGTTGCCCAGGCTTGATTACAGTGGCAGGATCTCAGCTCAATGCAACCTCCGTCTCCAGGGTTCAAGCAATTCTCCCTGCCTCAGCCTCCTGAGTAGCTGGGAGTACAGGTGCCACCATACCCAGCTAATTTTTGTATTTTTAGTAGAGATGTGGTTTTGCCATGTTGGCCAGGCTGGTCGTGAACTCCTGACCTCAGGTAATTTGCCTGCCTTGGCCTCCCAAAGTGCTGGGATTACAGGTGTGTGCCATCACACCTGGATGACTTTATGTTCTTTCAGGTTCTCTAACATACTGTGATCTCCTTGGCCTCCAAACCTATGCTAGACCGGACTTCCCACTGCCTGGAAGACTCTCCCTTGACTGTTCCCAATTCCTGGCTCAGAACTCAGCAGAAACGAGACCTTCTCATAGATGCTTCCTTGACTTCCTAGCCTTGATACATCAATTTGTTCTATACTTTCACATCATCCCCACTCTTTCTTAGGAGTTCCTTAGACACTTGGCGATTGTTTAATGAGCTCTAGGATGCAATGGAGCCCCAAGACAATGCATCTTCACATGTGCCCCAAATCACTTGGGCAGCAAGCCTTAAAAAAATGCAAAGTTGGGCAATTCCTGGGAGGTGAGGTCTGGAATTTTATATTTTTAACAAGTTCCACAAGTGCATGTAAGCACAGCAAACTCAGAGAGCTGTTGCCATGAGTGCTTGGCTCACAGGACAGGGTTTATATCTTCTCTGGACTCATGGGTGCTGCAGGAAGGAAAGCCTGCACCCAGCGTGAGCTCTCAGAATGTCCTGGGAAGCTTCTGCGCCTTCAGATTCTCTGCTATTACTGCATGGTTCGGACTTCCAGCTGTCTCATGATCACTCAACAAACACATATTTCACGAAATGTGAAGAGTTTTCTGGATGTGTCAGCATGAACATCCTTCTTCCTTCCTATCCTGGGGGAGTCTGCCACTTAGATTCCTCTGCTTGGGCATTCTTCTGACACATGCATAAGCCTCACTGACAAGAATAGCCCCCTCTCCAAAGTTATGGGTCTGGAGGAGGCAAATGGAAAAGACCAGCCTTTCTCTCTATGAAATCTGACTTGCATTCAAGAATAGTTACATCTGTGACATCTCTTCCACTGTTCCTTTGAACAGCTGCTTAAATCTTGGTTTAGCACAAAATGTAGAGATGGTCAAAGCAGACATTATTTGGTGATGAAATGACCTTGGAAAAGTTTCTTCACTTCTCTGGCATTCTGATTTCTCTTCTTTACAGAAACAGGTAGAACACTCACCTGGAAGGGATTGAAATGTGCAATGGTGCTGGACACAGGGAAGCCTCTCATGGATGTTCACTGCCTTCCCCGCCTCCCTCTCTGCCAAATGCATGTCACCTCCAGCATCCATAGGGGCCAGCTCCTCTCTGACAGTGACCTCACTCTTGCCCCTAAGTATGTGCTACTGTCATCTTTACCAGACATTTACTCCTGGTGATGGTAAATTGCTTTATCAAATGCTTATCTCACTTTATCCTCTCTTGAAGATTGAAAGGAAATGCAGCTTCGTTTTCCATAGAGGAAATTCAGAAACATAGAATTGTCCATTTTTTTTTCTATGATCAATCAGTGATTTATCAGGATTCAGGTCGTGGCTCTACTTCTTACTAGCTGTGTGATGAGGGACAAGGACCCCAATGACATCCCTGCAAACGTCAATCATGGTGCCAGGCACTGGCTGGAGTGTTTTGCTGACTCTTCCCCTTTCCCTTGCTTTGTGATTATGGTCTTGATTTTATAGGGGAGGAAACAGAGGCTGGGTGGAGTAAGCCTGTTGTCCAAGCTTCCACTCCTGAGAAATGGCTGTGCGACAACAGAGTTGGCAAGTCACTGTCACTCTCGACCACAATTGTTGCCTTTCTAAGCCATAGTTAGAATTAGCCCCATGTGGCAATACAGTGAAATTTTAATAGGCAAGGCAATGCATGGGAAATGCTTACCACAGCCTCTGGCCTTGGTGAGTGTCAGGGCATACTGCTTGTTATGTCTTAGGCTCTGCAGGTGCTGTGAACTTGACTGGACATTTCCCTTCACCAAGGTGGTCCACTGGCAGAAGTGTGAACATCAGCCTTGTCCCCTGCTTGTGTGGCTTGACAGCATCTCTCGTGGCCTCCAGCTTCCCTAGGCTCTTTCCAATGCACCCAATCCTACTGAAAGCAATTGATTCCAGTGGCTCCCACATCTGGTCATGAGCCTTGGATGCTTGCCTCCATGCCCTAGTTAAAAAAGGTGTGAAGGGGGTGCTCAGTGAGGAGCTAGTGTTGGGCTGGCCCCCCCAGCCTGCTGTGGGCACTGTGGAGGGAGCAGCTCCTCCAGGGGCCCCTTACCTGTGGCATCTCCCCACCAGCCCCTAGCTTGTGCAGCCTCCTTGCATGATGGGCTCTCGATCTTTCTTCTCCATCTCAGCCCGGGCCCTCCCTGCTCCCCACATAGGGTAATTTGGCAGCCGTCTGAATGGCTCTCTACATCCAGGCAGCACATGACAGCCAGTGGTCAAATCCAGCCCGTAGACTATTTTCATAGCCCTCAAGCTAAGAATATTTCTACATTTCTAAAGAGTTGTTAAAAACGAAGCACATGATAAAAATAAAGAAGAATATGCAACAATGACCACAAAGCCCTTTACAGACACTGTTTGCAGACACTGTTTGCAGACGCCTGCTCTAGACTGCTCTTCACATTGACCTTCTCACCCAGCCCCAAGGTCTCACCCCGACTTCACTCAAGGTCTCACATCCTGTCTCTGCACTGTTTAAAAATCTTTAAAGTACCCTGTGTGCAAAAAAGGCACCCTGGAGGTAGTCTAAGAAGATCTGGATTCAAATCCCAACTCTCACACTTATTAGCTGTATGACTCTCTTGAACCTCGGTCTCTTCCTCTGTGCAATAGAGTAACAGGGCAAAACCAGGAGGTTATTTGGGGACCTGATGTCTTTGAGGTGTGAAAATGCACTCTGAGCCACACAGAGATATTCAAAATATGAAATTTCATCATAACTGTTTTGTCCATGGGGAGTGTCCACACCCCAGAGCCTGCTTAGACTCTGTCTCCAGCTGAGACCCAGTTTGCTTTCCAACCTCATTCCTTGTGACTTTCCACATGACATCCCACCCCACACGTCACATGGCTTTGCTCTCACCCTGCCTTGGTTGAAATGCCCTTCCCAGTTCCCACTTGCATTTGAGCCCTACCTGGTCTTCAGAGTTCAAGCGCAGCTCGATGGCAGGTGCCTCTGATGCGTGGATCCTGGAATCTACGTGGGGGCATTTGGAGACGTGGAGATGGAAGGAGTCTTTAGCACTCAGAGCGCTTGTTCTCCAGCCTGAGACAGCATTAACCATTTCAATCTGTGCACTGGTCTTAAATCTTCTCCCTCTCTTTTCTTTCTCTTCTCTTCTGTTTCTTTCCAACACTCCAACATGAAACAGTGCCTGCTGTGCAGTAAAAATATTTTGGCTGCCTCCCTTTTAAAAGTGTTCTAAAAATACACAGAGACATCCACATGCACACATGGCAGGCTCTGACGATTGCCTTCCAGGTGATGGAAACAAACCCTGAGCTCGTGCTCCTCTTTGGGACCAGCATGGGCAACTCCTGGCCCCGCCTTCCAGACAGGCACCTAGTTAAGAGGCAGCAGCATTCGATATGGAGCAAAAGTTTGCTGTCTTTGCTGACCATTCTCAATGCTACAGAACTCTCAACTATTTGTAGAAATTGGAAGAAGCAAGTTGATGTAAATAAAGGTAGAATATGACTCATGCTCCTCTTTTGTGTTTTAAGATCTGCTCAAGGACATAAAAAAATTTGAAACTCTTGCCTTTTTTCAACCCTAGGATTCTTGCCTGAACTCGAATAAACTTGTGTTTCACCCAGAGAAAGGTATTGTGGGGTCCTGCAAAATCATTAGGTGAGGAGCCAGCACGATGAGGTTCTCATTGTCACCTGCCACCACCTCTGACAAGTCCTAGGTTGTCTCTGAACCTCAGACTCTTTACCCAAAATTTAGGGGCTTTAATTAGGTGACCCATTAGATGACTTCTAGCTGTAAAAGTCTGTGGTAGAACAGCTAGAATTATTACTGTGATTTAAGGCGTAATATGGGTTTAGAAACAGAATTTCTTTTACCACTAATAGTTATAACTCTGCAGGATAATCCCTACAGTTCTCATTCCATAGAACTTTTTTTTTTTTTTTTGGCTTTTCGTTTCTCTTTTTTTTTTTTTTTTTTTTGAAATGAAGTCTCGCTCTGTCACCGAGGCTGGAGTGCAGTGGTATGATCTTGGCTCACTGCAACCTCTGCCTGGGGTTTTACTTAGTTTTGTATCTCAGCCTCCCAAGTAGCTGGGATTACAGGCATGAACCACCATGCACAGCTATTTTTTGGCATTTTTAGTAAAGATGGGGTTTCACCCCATATTGGCCAGGCTGGTCTCAAATTCTTGGCCTGAAGTGATCCACCCACCTCCCAAAGTGCTAGGATTACAGGCATGAGCCACCACACCCAGCTGACTCTTTCTAAATAAAGTTATTATTATTATTATCAGATACAGTGTCTGACTCTGTCACCCAGGTTGGAGTATAGTGGCACAATCTTGTCTCATTGCAACCTCTGCATCTTGGACTCAAGTAGTCCTCCCACCTCAGCCTCCCGAGTAGCTGGGATTACAAGTGTGTGCCACCATGCCAGGCTAATTTTTGAATTTTTTCATAGAGAAAGCATTTTTCCCTGTTGCCCAGGCTGGTCTCCAACTCCTGAGATTAAGGGATCCTCCTGCCTCAGCCTCCCAAAGTGCTGGGATTATAGGCATGACCCTGGCTGTCTGGCCACATTCGATAGACTCTTTTACACTGGGGTGGGTGCTGTGGCTACAGCAAAAGGAAATGTGTATTTATTTATTCAGTGGCCAAATATTTATGACCTGCCATTGTGGTTGGCATCATTCTCATTTTATAGAAGATAACATTAAGGCTATGTGAAGTTGGAATTAACATTCATACTCACATCTATAATATGTGCTCATTCTACTTAGCTCATTTTAGGACCCTAATCTCAATAGGCATTCCCATAGTCGGCTTTAAACTTATTGATTCTTTAAGCCATTCCTAAATGTAAAACAAGTTCTTATTTACTATGCATTATTAAATAAAGTAAGCTATTAGGTTAGTGCAAAAGTGATTGCAGTTTTTTTCATTAAAATGTCATGGCAAAACCCGCAATCACTTTGCACTATTCTAATATTTTGGATTGCAATTATTTCAGTATACCACTTGATATGATATTTTAAGACTGTCTTTGAGTGAGGTTTATCGCTTGTATTGTGCCCCAGTAAAGCCTCATTCAGAGCGCTTCTGAAATTCAGTCTTTTAGAAAATCAGGACTCTTTAATAAATCCCCAATTTGCTCACTCTCGCACATCATTAGTCACTGTATTAAAGAAACTTTCAAGATCAAGGTGTTTTGGAAATATGTCTAAACAAAGTAAGGTTAGTGCCTTTATAGCAGGACCTCCTGCATCCTGTAATGCATGGATATGTAATTGGAATCTCTATGAGGGTGTTACTGTTTGCTGCTTTTTCTAAAGTTCTTTTACTCTAGAAAGTACTGTCATGGAGCATCTAACAGCACTGGTATTCATGAAAATCTGTGTTGCCCTCAGTTAATCTTAATTTCTCTCATTGGCACTGAATGCTGCAGTGTAAAAAGGAATAATGACTATTTGTCATATTTTAGACACTTTATGGATTCCAAAGCATTTATCTCATATGGTTCTTAAAGCCATCTTGAGAGATGGATATTATTATTCCACTGTATTCACAAAGCAGTGAGAATTTTAGTTTAAGATGATACACCCAATAAACACTACAACTTTTCTCCACTTCTCTGAACACATAAGGAGGGGAATAATATTGACAAGCCACACTATATACATAGCAGTGCCCCAAAACAAGAATGGGCAATCTACAGATGCCAGAAAAAGAAATATCTCCTCAAAAGGAGGGTGCTTGGGGTGGTTACTAGGGGCTGAATCACTGGGGTGCAAGAGGGTGCTGGGAAAAGAGCTCAGAACAATGCACAAGGCTGGTCTGAGGGTTTCAGGTCCTAGGAGGGGCTGGGGACCACATCTGGCAATCTAGGTGTGGCAAAGGACTGCAAACCTGCAGTGGGGACTGGAATCTACCCCCACCCATTTCTACAGTCTGCATTGCTCTGTGTCTGCCTACCCAGTGGTGTGGCTGAAGCCCTGGTCTTGGAACTTGAGATGTGCCTTCTGCATGGGCCATGGTCTGGAGTCACCATAAGAGTAGAAGCTGTCTGGAAGTAAGTCCGTCATGTGGCATTGGGGCTGAACTGAGACAGGTGCAGAGCCCATGTATAGAACTGTGATAATGCATCTTGGGGGTTGCTGGAATTCAAAGACAAGAAATCACTCAGCGTGGTGACGACCTCACAACAAAGAATCACACAACCCTGGAGGAAGACAGAGCCCATGTGAGACAAAAACACAGAACAGAAGAATACATAACCAGCAAAAAGAAGAGAACTTAGAGAATCCGAAAAGAAATGTGGAACAGTTTTTAATATCCTGAAAGAAGGAGAGGAAGCAGCCATGACAGGAGGAAAGAAGGCTCTGGAGGGAAAGATGTCTTGAAATAATGACAAGAAGTTTGGGAAAGCAATGATAAATTCCATATATAAAAACACATTTTTGAAAATCACAAAAGCACCTTAAAAGATGTGCTGAACAGATGAAATCTTCAAGACCATAGCAGTACAAAGAGAAAACACGCTAGAAAAGTTAGGAGACATAGAAGATGGATAGCCCTGTGACATAAGTTTAGTGGGGTTTCTAGGGAAAGCAAATGAGTAGAAGAGAGCACAAGAGACTCCTACAAATGTGCTGTGTGGATATTCCAAGAACTAATTGATATCATCTAGAAAAACCTCCAAACAAAAAGAGTAAAAAGAAAATCCTACAAGCTATGAGAGAATATTAAAACAAACACACACATATACACACACACATTTTCTGCAAAGGAAGGAAAATGAATATTGGCATCGTATTTTTCATCAGATATATTGATGCCAGGAGACTAATTGTAATATATTCAAAGAGAAAACAGTTTTCTGTCATAAATACTTTACTTGTTCCAGGTAGTTTTCTATGTATAATATAAAATAAAGAAATTTAAAGACATAGAGAAACCAGCCTGTTGACCACAGACCCTTTCTGAAAGAACAACACAACCGAGAACCATTGTCAAACCATGGCCCATGGGCCAAATCCAGTCATCACCTGTTTTTGTATGGCCAGTGGGTTAAAAATGGATTTAAATTTTTAAATGATTGAAATGAAATCAAATAAGGATTAACATTTTCTGACAAATGAAAGATACATAAAATTCAAATTTTGGTGTCCATAAGTAAAGTTCTATTCCCTGTTGCCTGTGGCTACTTTCATGTTACAAGGGCAGAGCTGAGAACTTGTGACAGATCCCCAATGGTCGGCAAAGCATACACTATTTATTATCTAGCCCTTAACCAGAAAATTGCCAGTCCTGAAGGACATACTTCAGCAAAAACAAATATGAACCCAGGAGAAAGGAATTGGCTGTCTTTTCCCCAGTGTACGTTCTTGGCACTATTGTCAAAAATGAGTTCACTGTAAAGTGTGTGGATTTGTTTCTAGGTTCTCTAAACATTAGGGAGAATCTCCAGGACATTGGACTGGGCAAAGATTTCTTGAGCAATAACCCACAAGCACAGGCAACCGAAGTGAAAATGGACAAATGGGATCACATCAAGTCAAAAGGCTTCTGCTCAGCAAAGGAACAATCAACAGAGTGAAGAGAAAACCTACAGAATGGAGGAACATCTTTGCAAACTACTCATCTGGCAAGAGGTTAATAACTAGAATATATAAGGAGCTCAAACAACTCCATAGGGAAAAAAAACTAATGATCTGATCAAAAAATGGGCAAAAGGTTTGAATGGATATTTCTCAAAAGAAAACATATAAAGGGAAAACTGGCATGTGAAAAGGTGCTTGATTCATTAAGCATCAGAGAAAAGCAAAGCAAAACTGCAATGAAGTATCATCTCACCCCCAATAAAATGGTTCATATCCAAAAGACAGGCAATAACAAATGCTGGTGAGGATGTGGAGAAAAGGGAATCCTCGTACGCTCTTGGTGGGAATGTAAATTAGTAAAATCACTTGGTGAGGGTGTAAACTAGTAAAATAGAGTTACCGTATGATCCACCAATCTCACTCCTGGATATAAACCCCCAGAAAAGAAAATCAGTGTATCAAAGAAATATCCACACTCCTATGATTGTTGT